TAATCTTACTCTCGTCCCTGAAGATATGAGATAATCTTGCTCTAGTGTGACTTGTTTGAAGAGGTATTCTCGGAGATGAAGAAAATTGAGTATTTTGATATGCTTTGTTGAAGATGCATTCTCGAAGATGAAGAAGAGTTAGGTATTCTTGCAGGTCTGCCTTGTTATGGATAACGGAGGTTGACATATATAGAGATTTCCCCAATAACAGGTAGTGGTGTGGATGTGGTTTTTTCATCCACACTTGTCGGCAACAGTGTTGTAGTTGGAATAGTAAGAATTACGCATTTTCAACTTTGTCAGAGATCTTTGACAAAGTTGCACGCGATATCAGAAAAAGCTAAGATTGCGTCTGAAAAATGCCAACAAACTTTATTCAGGAAAATCTAGCTTTTGAAATTCGGAGAGCGGTGCCTCTTCGATCTCTGAACGAGTGGCTCTGTTGCCTCTTCTTTTATAGAGACATCAATTGTTTTCAAGAGTATGCTCAGAAAGTTGCTGCCTGTAGAAATTTCCCCATTCTTGCACTTCTAAAATTTTATTTGACCTCTTTTTTCCTTCATCATTTTTTAAAATGACTTGCCCATCTAACATTCGCTTAGATTTGAGTTTTAGGAGTGATACAGACGAGCAACGTCAGGATAATATATGGCGTTTGTCCTTCTTATCTTCTAATGGTCATTTTACGGTTGGGGACTCTGTGATGAAGAATAACATGACCGCTACTGTGGTAGCTAGGAATCTTCTCACTCCAAAAGATAACATGATCCTTTCAAAACGGTGTGATGAGTCGGCCGTTTAAGACTCATTGGCTCTCAGTGTTTAGTGTGCTGGCTCTATTTCTAATATGGGCCAACGCCTACTTGCTCAAATTGGCCAAGTTGAATCATTGATGGCTGAGGTGGCAAGTTTTAAACAAGATATCAGAGGGTTCAAGCACGAGAATAGAGTGTTACACATGCTTGCAAATAATTACTCGACAAGCATGAAAAGAAAGCTCAACCACCTGCAAGAATCTGAAAGTTCGGATTCAAAGTGATCACCAGAGGTTCGTTGCTAGATTCCGAAAGCAACTGATGCCTTCCTCTTCTGGTGTTTTGCTAAGTACTGGGGTGCCACATGATCAATCTCCAGTGCATCCCCCTTCTGGGGTACTTCCGAGTACTGAGGCTTCACATGAGCAACATTTGTGAAGGCTCCATCATGTTTGTTTGTTTTAACTCATATGTATGTACATATCTGTAATTTCTCGGAGATATTAATAGATAAGCTTTTTTTCATTCAATGTATTGTGCCAAATACAATAAAGCATATACTTCACTAAGATGTAGTACTTCTAGACCAAATATTAATTTATCTTTACCCTCACGAAGATAAATGATCTTTCTTAGTGTCAACATCATTTGAGTATTCAACTCATAATCTTCAATCCATATGGTTCTTTTAATATTATAAACATCATGGATAAGATTCGTGTTGGTAGATTGTTCGATCTGCAGTTCGATACAATATTTCCTTCAACACTTCAGGAGTCCCAATTTAATATCATCAACTCTTCAGGAGTTCTAATTTAATGTCATTGACTCTTGCAAGAGATTTTAGTATGTTGCAACAATATCATAATGATAATACTCACTAAGGCAATTTATACCATCCATTGGTATTGAGTACATAATTTATGCTTCACCCTTCGGGGGCTTACTTCAAGCAATTTGAATCCTTCAAGGATTTTCTACACTTCATGACACATTTTCCTTTGGAATTTATACAGAGCAATTTGCTCCCATGTATACTTAAGGGATTTACTTATGGAGATATGATGTGTGTGACACAACCCTTCGTATATAATTCTCCATTCATATGAACTCGTTTACAAGAGTATAATTAGTAACCTTATGTCATATCATGTAAGTGTAATTCACTGTATTACAAATGCCCATATGTAACCCCCTTGGTTCAACATCTTTTGGCTATTTGTATTGTATTCAAGTATATAGGTCCATTTTTCCATGTTCTTACAAAATTGTAATGGAATTGCCTTTCTCCATTTTTGGCCAATAATTTTTCCTTTTTTGTCAACGGAAAAAGATTGAGACTCAATATCAACACAGCTCATTGATGATTTTGTAGCTACTTATAAAAACCAAAATTACCATTGGTTATCATCAATCCGTAATCCCATATTCTCATGTTCATGCGCATGCATAAAAGCTTTTCATTTCTTTGGATATCCATTGCCTCTTCAAAGACATTACACTATCTCTTCCAGGATAGTCATAATTTAGAGAATGCGAATCATAACCTCCTCTTAAGCGTTATAGAGCTTGGATTTTAATCTCCACTTCCGGGGAGTTGAGTCATTGGAACCTATATGTCTATCATGCTTCATGCGCGAGACATCAACATTCCCATATCCGCAGATTGTCGTATATCTATGCGGCGACTGTCATGCTTCTAGCATGCAACAGTTATGCTTCCGGAATGCAATAGTTTAGGAGTGCAATATTCTTCCTCTTTTGAATGAATGAACCTTTTGAGTCTAAGGGTCTGCCACGCTTCAGGTGTGCAACAGATAAATTATTTACTGCCATATTATTTTGTCCAACAGGGACATCAATTCTTGTAGACACATTTGCAGCAAGTATATATGATTTCATCACTTTCGTTGCATCATTCAATTATTCTTACTTCATTTTCATATTGATTGTTTCGTGAATCAAAATAAGACAAATTCTCTTTGTTCTTCTGGAACGGTCTTTTCTTATCATTCTTCTGGAATGATATTTTCTCATTGTTCTTCTGGAACAATGTTATTTTCTCCCCCTAATGGCAGGAAAACTGTCTTATCAAAATCATAGTCCGCAAATCATGCGGTAAATATATCCCCAGTTAAGGGTTCCAAATGTTGAATGATAGATGGTGGATTGAATTCAACATAAATTCCCAGTTTGTATTGATGCCTTATTTTAGTACGTTATGGCAGTCTTACAGGCACATAGATAACACAACTAAAAACTCGTAAATGTTAATGTTTGGCTGGTGCCCAAACACGAGTTGTACTGAGAAATATTGATGGTTGGCAACTGGTCTCAACCAAATTTAATAATGAATTATGTAAAATTACATGTCCCCATGTCAAAACTGGGAATTTCATTTTCATGAGCAGAGCGCGGGTAATCAATTTCATCCGCTTAATAAATGTTTCTGCTAAACCATTTTGAGTATGGACATAAGGAACTTCTGGTCCTTATTAAATAGTTTGTAGACTGAGATTCTTATGGCTTTTATTACAATTAAGTTGAGGCACTGTGGCACTTCAAACTTACAGTACTCATCAAGGAATTTCATGTCTTGATCTTCAGGATCAAGGGATTTCATGCCTAATCTTTTTATATGATGGAACTTCAGGTCCAATCATTTTATATGTTGAGGATCAAGAAACTGCAAGTTCTAATTTGATCAATGAACTTCAGGTCCTATATATACTCATTGTAACAAAAGATAGGTACAATGAATAAATTGCATTTAAGTAAATAAAGCTTGTGACAAGGGCTTTAATTCAGCACCATTCACATAAATCAAAACTTAAACCAACAGGCGGTAAAACCGTCCATGGTAAATAAATTGCTTTAAAGTAAATAAAGCTTGTGACAAGGGCTTTGATTCAGCACCATTCACATAAATATCAAAGCTTTAAAGTAAAGGGTAATAATTCTACCCACTGTAAATAAATTGTTTTAAATAAATAGAACTTGTGAAAAGATTTTAAGCCATCACCATTCACATAAATAAATAGTATCATAACCTTTTATTTTGCCACTTCCTTTTGTCCCTTTTATTTTTTAATTAATTTTTTTTCTTTCTGTCAGCACCAAGCTTCAAAACCTTTTCTTTTCTCACATGCTGCACAATTCCAAAAAAACAACTTTACCTTTTGTTTTCTTTCACATGGTGCAACATATCTTTTCAAGGCTTTGGTCCCATTTCCCTTTTTATTTTTGTTTTCACAGTTCTGAAGTCATTTTGGTTACTCAAGAAATAATAGTAACAATAAGTTCCAATTGGTGTTCCTCCTCCGTGAGTTTCGAAAAAGTCAAAACAGTTTCTATAAGTTTTGGAGTCAATAGTGTCTGCAACTTATGAGAAGATCAAACTATTAGATTTAGCTCAAATTTTAGTATGAAATGGATAAAAGGATACCGAACAACTTTCATGAAGAAACAATTTCGATTTGAGCTACAGAAATGGAGTTGTGGTACTCATAAGATGGTTGTCCAGTTTTCTGCGGAAATTGGAAACTGGTTTGGTATTTCAGACATCTGCGACGATCGCACCGTTAAAGTTTTCTGAAATTTAGATATGTTGTAGATACTGAGCGGACGAACAACTTTCAAGAAGAAAGTATTTCAATCCGAGGTCCGCAAGTTGGAGTTCCGAGGCTATTTACATGGTTGTCAAATGCTCTACGAATTTTGAGTCTGTACTCTTTTGCTTCTGTAAAGAATGATATACAGTCATGCAACAACATATATATATATATATATATATATATATATATATATATATATATATATATATATATATATTTGCTTCAGGAAAATCATTAGTACAAAGATTTTAAGATGAAATGAAAAAAAATTCTTATATGTGAGATTCTAGCTGAAGGAGGTGAACATGATTTGTGGCGCTATGCTTTCCACTGACATGAGAGCTTCTCGTGCTGATAACGTGTTGTAAAATCGACGGTGTGTGCAGTGGAATAAATAAACAAGACACAAAATTTATGAGGTTCCTCTACAGTCAATGTGACTGGAGTACGTCCTCAAGGCAGCATTGATGCTTTCATTATAATCTGAAATAATAAGAGTACAAAGATAACTCTCTCTTTTATCTGCTCTCCTCTTCCTCATCTTTTCTCTCTTCCTCTTCCTTTCTCTCTTTTATTTCTTTCTTTTCCTTCCTCGCTCTCCCGTGAGTCCCTCCCTACTTATCTCCTTGTAATGCTCTATTTGTAGAGCAAACATTATGAAAGCAAACAAAAAATTCACTATTTAACTTGTGAATCTTTACTATATACATGTGGGCAAACATACCTATTGTTTTACAACAAACATAAGTACCAAATGCCATCAAGAATCTATCGCTCCCCTTTGATTTCATTTTAAGCCAGACCAGAGAAGATGAACGGCCCATAACCTCAGACAGAAGAGGAACGTTTGGTTATATTCTGTTTTGTCGTTGGTTTCCCTCGGCTGCACCAGTCTCAGTACAACTCGGCAGCTCCTCCCTCTAGTCTACGCTGCCGGCATCCCGGCTCCACCCTCCACCCGCCTTCCGTCCTTCCTCCGGCAACTGTTAAGTCCTTATTCAGTTGTTCTTTTTCTTATTTTCCTTTTTCTTGTAAATTAATTTATAAGATTGTTTCTGAATTCTGATATTGTGATTTTAGATTTTTTTTAGGGATTTTAGGACTTCAATAAATGCCCAGTTTCTAATTTCACATAATTCCTAACTTTTAAGGGATTTAAAGGTTCAGTTGAGTAAACAGTAAAGATGGGAGTTTTGAATAATTTCACTTAAACGTCTAATTTCAAATTTGTGAAGCGCTCCGGCCGAATTGTGCTTCCTGACTGGACGACGTTGTGAGTACGGCCACATTCAAGGAGCTCGCAGCATATGAGCCTGATTCGTACTACATTAGATCTGCGTCCATGGCAAACGAAAATCTACTTGACGGGTGGTCTTGGTGTTGGTGTCTTCTGCAGGATCTATGGAGGGAGCAAGAGGAACTGAAGGGAAACAGCGAAGCATGCAACTCTTTTTGCTTTGCTTTTGCTTTTTTAACTAAGCTTCTTCTGGACACAACTGCCTAGTAGAAGAAAAAGTCGGGTTATAAAGCACTTGCAAAGTAGAAATTATGCTATGAAACGGATGTTTCTTGATCATCAAACAACAAAGACTAAAAAGATGATGAACGACTTTCTGAAAACAATTTTTATAATCTAAAACCTTGCTTGGTATTGAGCTTAGAAACATGCAAACATGTATGATTTGCTTTGAATTTCACTGAGACATTTTAACAAACATCATACCTGCACACTTTGAGCCCCGCAGAAAATGACATGAAGATCAATTCTCTTGTTGAGTGTCTAGTGCCCATATCTAAAATGTCAAAAACTAGTAAATTTGTGTTTGGTAGTAAAGTTTTTGTAATATAAATTTTAAGATGGTAACAATGGGGGTGGCGATGGTGTTTGCGGCTAGAGTGGCGTTGGTGGTGGTGATGGTGGCGTTGGTGGTGGGAGATGGTGGTGACTGGCATTGCCATATCTCCAAGGTGTCTAGATTATTCAATCTTCCCATAAAGAAAGAGAAATGCACGAATAATTTACCTTTTCTTCGAAAAGAAAATATTGTACGGCAGTCTCAAGATTCTTCTTCCATCCCTTCTCTTCAGTTTCTTTGTGTTTTGTAATACTTTCACTCTTACCATCAAATATGAATGCCCTCAGTTTAAGACAATCTTCTAGATGCAACAGCTTCAAAGACGGAAGTTCAATAAATATAATTTCCTGAGCAGAATCTAGCAGGAGATATTGCAGTTGTAGATGTTTTAGCTTGCAAAACCTGTTATCCATACTTACATCACTATATTCTTCGTTTGCTACAATCTCTTCCATTTTCTGAATTTGGATACCTCAAGATGTTTGAGTTGTACAAGACTTCTAGCCATGGAACAAGAATCTAAAACCGTAAAAGTTCCGTAAGCCCGGCAGTTTCATTCACCATAATGATTTCTTCGGCTTTTGTATATGTTGTTAGTTGTTTTTGAGTCCTTGCAGTTACAACAGAGGTGCTGCGGTTGGAGAGAAACCTATAAACTTTGGTAGATTCCACAACGTCAGAGATGGTAATTTTCAAAACTAACGAGGTTATAAAGAGATAGTGACTCCAAATTTGGAAAGATATAGCCAACAATCACCAACGTGGATGGTGTAGCTTTTCAACTTATCCGAGAACATGTATGTTTAATGCAGTTAGCTGAGACAAGTGCTTCGGCATCAGGAACATTATTTCTTCCATCGACCAGACCTTCCACCCTTCCATTGCTCAATGCTGTTTATTCCCGTTCTCTAGTCTTCTAGTCTTTTCAAGCTTGATGAAACATTAGGTGGAATCAGTACAATCTCAGAGCAACCACTCAAATCTAACCGTAGACGAGTCAGTTGCTCTGTTTCATCATGCAACTCTTTAACCTGGGAGTGGGCAAAGAATTTTCAAGTTTCTTAGCTCTCCAACTAGAACAATATCCCCCAACACGCACTGATCTAAGCACAATGTTTGAGGAATTGGTAGGTATTTAAGAGATGGAGATAATGATGGAAAATGAAGCACAGTTAAATCCAACACTTTGAGCTCTTTCATCTCTCCGCGATTCTTCTTCGCAAAGTCAAGCTGAAAATCTTTTTGGGTATGCATCTCATATACACATTTCGCTCTCTAGATGTCAAAAGTAAATTACAAGTCGGTGCCCGGCGAAGTCCCACAAGGTCCAAATGAATTCTTCCCAAAACATCATCTAAAATAACAAGTGTTCTCGTCTTTTATCCTGTCCCATAAACAATTTGCCCTTACCGCCATACTCTGAGATTCATCAGCGTGCATACCGAACTTTTCGGCAATTTGATTCTGAATTTTCTCCAGGTCTTCTTTTTCTTTGACATTCAGTATTATAACCACATCATCATATAACTTAACTTGTGCAGCTTGTCTGAAAACTTGTTTGGCATCAAATTAGAGGACAAATGAAGCATGTGTTCTTCAAGTGACTCCTTAGGTTCGAAGGTTGATTCTGTAGTGAATTACGAATCCCACTTAACGTCCAACTGGAAAAACTGGGTACTTGATTATTTTTCCGACGACCTTGGGAATAATTGAAGGTAAGTCGAAACTCCATGCCACTTTCAGTTTAGTAATATATCTGTTGAACATAAACGAAGCCAAAAACATGGAAAAAGATGTAGAAATTTATGCAACAAAATAAAATGAAAATTTGAAAGACAAGAATAAAATGTGATTGAAATTGAATAATGGAACAGAAGACATACCTTAGCTCGTGAGAGCGAGACTAACGGCAAAGTAAAAGCAAAGTGAAGGTGAATGACAACAGCAATTGCAAAGTTGAGTTGTGAAATGAAATTAGAGGACAAATGAAGACAAGTGAAATAAGTGGGGTTTACCGTATTAAAACAAAGTTGGATGAGTTGCTATTTAGTAATACGGTTTAGCTGTATTTTTCTTTATTTGTAAGCGAGAAGTCTTAGGTTCCAATTCATTCTTCCCACCTTTAGTTAAGCTCTTTATGGCCTGATATTGTGTTTATTGATGCTCAATATTCATCTCATTTCTGCACCTGGAGTCCAATGTGAGATAACTTGCATAAGAATCTTTTTTCTTCAAGCTCTCAAAATTACTCATTCCACACATTGTAGAAAGATGGTGATGGTCGAGCCTTAACAAAGGGAAGTTGCGCCTGTGAATTTTGGTTCTCTTTCGAAATAATTTTTTTTAGGGAGGTGGTAGAGATCGTACGGTCAAACGAACTGATTAAGGTATGGATGACGGGGATTTGATATGAGGAGGCAAGAAAGTGGCTTTCAAAATTGAAACATCAGTGGTGTATTTTGTGGAGATTATACCTATACTAAAACCGAGTTCAAAAACACCGTTCACCAACTGGAAAAGGACAAAAAACTGAGTTCAAAAACATTGAATGGACATAAAGGGTGCGTTTGGTACGCAGACGGGACGGGACGGGACGGAACGAAGGTGTAATTTTTGAAAAAGACCTGGGGTATATTTATCTTAAAATGGTAAAACATTGTGTTCCACAGACGTGGAACAAACCCGTTCCAGGGGGGGAGGTGGAACGCAAAAACACCCAAAATCTGTCCCGTGGAACAGCCCGTTCCACCCATTTTTGGCGCACCAAACGCGGGACGGAACGCCTCGTCCCGTTCCGTCCCGTCCCGTCCCGTCCCGTCCCACGTACCAAACGCACCCAAAAGGCCCCTAAGTTGCTCTCCATTTCTTTTTTGGGTTAATTACACAAACACTCCCTGATATTGATTTAGTTTTCACAAAACCCATCACTTTTGAGACATTACACAAATACCCCTCACGTTTTAGTGCCCTTTCATATAACCCCTTGAGTCAAAATTTGGCTTATGAATTTATGATTTACCCTTATTAATTACTTGAAACTAATAAAAGAACTTCATTATTATATAAAAAAAGTTATAAAACATTAAACATTTAAAAAACAAGAAGAAAACCATGTGGACAAAACAAATTAAGAAAAAAAATTAATTATTACTTTGAAAATAATATTTTACTAAAAAAGAAGTTGTTCATGTTCTTCTTTCCCTCCCACCCGATCAAGCAACCACCTCCATCTCCATGTCCTCATTCTTCTTCCATCACCACCACCCATTCAAACTTTCAACAAACCAAAAAACGATCATTCTCTAATAAAATAATAATTTAGTAATCAAGATCATATCCCTTCTATTTGATTCCGCACTAAATTAGGAATTAAAAAAAATCATAGAAGCCGCGGAGAAGGGTCTATGGAAGCGGGGGAAGTCGGGGGAGTGGATGACTTTGGAGGCTGATTGAAAATGGAAGGGAGGGGAGATTTGGGGGATTGAGAGGGGTTGAGAGACGGGGGAGATTTGTCCACATGGTCTTCTTCTTCTTCTTGTTTTTTTTTTTTTTTTTTTTTAAGTATTTAATGTTGAGAGCTGCAATAAAATGTTATTTTCCCACCTTCTATTATTCCTAAAATAATCTTATATATATAATTAGAGATAAACTTCTCTTAAAAAAAAAAAGAATATAAACAAATAATATTACTCTCTTCTAAAAGCCAAAAAAAAAAAAAAAAAACAGTTTAGTTTCCAAATTCCAATTGGGGTGAGAATGAAGAATTCTAGGTTTTCATTCTTTGCTTTTCCCATTTTATTTTCTTTTTCATATGCATTTTCCATTTTTTCCACATATGTTGGAGATGACTAGCGGTCGTCACCGTAATGCAGCAGCACCAGCAAAAGATTGTGACGCCGTTGGTGGAACCTCCCCCGCCCTCACTATTGCCTCGCTGGACCCTCCCTCCGCTCTATGTGGGAATTGTTTTCCGTAAACAAATTTACCCTAACCTAATGAAAATGAATCCGAGGAATTGTCATAGGAAAACGTGAAACAAATTACACCCTAACCTAATGCAAATTCAAATAAAAAGTCACAGAGCTATGCTTCAATTGTACGATGTCGACAAATCAAGATAACTCACATAAAATTATCTTTTATCTCTTCGACGGAAACATAATCATCTACTTCTTCCATAGAAACGTCATCTTCTAAGTTCATTCTTTTTGCTTTCTCTAAGTGATTTTGTTTTCTTTGAATGAAAGCAGATGGGAAGGATGAGTTAGGGTTTAAGAAAGACAAATTTTATAAACATAGCGTGAAAGTTATCATGCCCAAATTTTTTTTTTAATAAAAAAAAAAGTAATGCAAAAGGGGGTAACTATGTGACAACCCGTCCCTAGTTCTAGAATTTTATAAATTTTAAAGGTGTGAATTTACGAAAATGCCCTGAGAGGCGAGGGTATTGACTTACGTTGACCAACGTACAATGAGACGTATGAAATATTCCTTTAGCGTATTTATGTAGTACTCGACAATACGGCCACGTAGATGCAAGTAAAAGCAGATTGGGGGATTGATATTATCATTTATTATTTTATACTTTTTTAAGTACCATTACATTATTTTAAGAGTAACTTTGGTAAGAATTGAGGGAAGAAGAAGAGAAAGAAGAAGGGGGAACGGGAGAGAGCAGAAAGAAGGGCTGCTGCCCAATCAGAGGAGAGGAAGAGAAGAG